CCGTGGAGGACAGAAGAGGCTGTCAGATGCCCTGGAACTGGAGTTATAGACGGTTGTTAGCTGCCATGTAGGTGCTGGGATTTGAACCCGGGTCTTCTGTAAGAACAGCCAGTGCTCTTAACCCCTGAGCCATCTCTCCAGCCCCAATAAAATATTTTAAAAAATAAAAAAGAATGAGTGTTGAATTTTGTCAAGTGTATTTTCTGTATATATAGGGAGGATCATGTGAGTTATTTGAGATATCCTTCAATTCCAAAAATTTCACATCATAGCTGTTTAATATTTCGTAGTCTGAACTGAAAATGATATAGCATCTAAGTATTTATTTCAACTTCATCACTAATCCTTTAACTTTGGTTATACTTGCTGCATCAAGTGATGCATATCCATTCAAATGACAATTTGCAGAATTCAATTTCTCAACATTAAGCCAAATTTACATTCCTGAAATAAATCCACTTGCTATAAGACTGTATTCTTTTGAGAGGTCTGGGGAGACAGCTCAGTAGGTAAAATCCCCAAGTCCACATAAAAATACTGGTGTGGTGGTGCTTGCTTATAATCCCAGCACTGGAAAGGCAGAGACAGGAGGCCCCCTGGGGCTCACTGGCCACCTTGCCTAGCCAAATCAGCAATTTCAGGACAATGAGAGGCCCTGTCTCAAAGCAGGTGGGCACTGCTCATGGGCACTGTTTCTAAGCAGGACACCGGAGATTACCCTCTGGCTTCAACACACACAGGCACACACATACAAGTGCAACACACACACACACACACACACACACACACACACACAAACACACACAAACACATGATTTTTCAGAAGATTAGATTATTTTGAGATATGACAGTTTGGGGTTTGTCATCAATATAAAACAGAAACATGGAAACTTTTATTTTTTCTGTGCTCTGGAAAAGTTGAAAAAGCACTAACAGTCTGTTCTTTTTTTCTTTCTTTTTATTAATTTTTCCTTTACAGGGAGTGGTTCTTTTTTTTTTAAATGTATGAGTGTATTGCCTGCGTGTGTGTAAATGCACCCCTGTCATGCAGTGCCCTCAGAGATCAGGAGAAGGCATCAAATTCCCTGGAACTGGGGTTAAGGATGGTTGATAGCCACCATGTGTGTGCTGGGGATCAAACCCTGGTTCTCTGTAAGAGCAGTCAGTGTTCTTAACCACTGAACCATCTCTCCAGCCCCATGGTTCTTTACTTCTAAGGAGACTTGCTAACAGTCAGTTGCACATACACAGCACTATGGGTTCTTTCCCCTAACCAGCCCTCAAGAGAACACAATAAGTCACAGGGGCAGACCTCCCCCCACACCCCAAACATCAATCGGAAGTAGTAACTGGTGGGGAAAGAAGTTTTGAAAGCTCAGCAGGCTGCCAGTGTACAGACTATAAGGGATTCATTGCCAGATGGAGAAACAAGGGAACCCCAAGCCCCAGGAGCAAAGTTTCAAAATAATATAGAATTTGGGGGTCTGGAGAGATGGCTCAGTGGTTAAGAGCACTGGCTGCTCTTGAAGAGGACCCGGGTTCAGTACCCATATGTTGACTAACAACCATCTATAACTCAATTTCCAGGGGATCCAACACCCTCCTGGCCTCTTTGGGCACTGTATGCACAGGTGCACTTACATAAATACAGAAAACACATTAAAAACATAAAATAAAAATAAATCAAAAATACTTTTAATTTAAAGTTTTGCTCATAAGCTGTTTAAGATTTCACCAGGACTGAGCAATGGAAGCACCTGGGAGACAGCACCTGGAGCCTAGACAAGGGCTGTGGGTTTTGTACGCTGGATCAACAGCAAAAACGTCTTTTCTTTGTGTTTTGAGACAGAGCCTCACAGTGTGGCTCAGGCTGGGCTTGCCTGAACTCACTCGTGGGCAAGTTGGTCTCAAACCTGGGATCCTCCTGCCTCAGCCTCTTGACTATCTGGGATTACAGGCCTGTGTCACCAGGCCCAGGCTTGTTTTTCTTTTTTCCTTTTTGTGTGTATATGTATATATGTATGTGTGCATGGTGTACATCACATGTACATATGTGTTTCCTGTATGTGGGTGCATGTATATATGTATGTGTGCATGGTGTACATCATGTGTACATATGTGTTTCCTGTGTGTGGGTACATGTGTATGGAGGTGTGTATTGAGGCCAGAGGCTGACGTTGGGGTCTCCCTCCATCACTCTCCATTTTACTGAGCCAGGATCCCTAGCTGAACCCAGAGCTCACCAATTTGGCTAGCCTAGTTACCAGCTTGCCTCAGTGACCCTGCCCTACTTGTATGTGGTTCTAGGGATCCAAACTCCAGTTCTCACCCTTGCAAGTGCTTTATCCATGCTCCCTACCCCACCACAGCACACACACTTTTTAAAATTATGTGAGTGAATAATTCTTTGTCTGGGTGTGGTGGCACATGCTTTTAATCACGGCACTTGGGAGGCAGAGGCAGGCGGATCTCTGTGAGTTCAAGGCCAGTCTGGTCTACATAATGAGTTCCAGGCCAGCTGGGGCTACAGGGAGACCCTGTCTCAGAAAGACCAAAAAAAAAAAAAAAAAAAGAAAGATTTACTTTCTTTGAATTTTTTTATTGTTACAGTCATTTATTTGTGTTTATGCATGTGTGTATGTGTATGGGCACACATGACATACAGTACATGTGGAGATCAGAGGACAACTTGTGGGAGTCAATTCTCTTCTAACATGTGCGTCCCAGGGATCAAACCCGGTCATCAGGCTTGGGGGTAAGTGAGCTATCTCTCCACCCGCCCCCTTTTCCCTTTTTATAATATAATCTCCTTTCTTTCAAGGAGGCAGGAGGGCACTAAGTGGTCACCTCAACATTAAGGGCCATTTTGTGAGCACTTGGGAAGGGGCAGAGAGGAGAGCTGAGACAGTCTCAGCTCAGGGATGGGGCCTGGAGAGACTTAGGAGGTCTCTCCATCTTAATTTGGTCATTTTCTACGGAAAAAGTAAAAACAGTGCTCAACAACTCTTCAACCATCTGGCCCCAACATTCAAGGAGGTCAGCTCCATCTTGGCCAATTCCAGGGCCTCCTTCCTCCCTTCACCTCCTGCTGGGGGCACACCGCCCTATCCTCCGCCTCACTGGCTTGCAGCTGCAGAATCTGGATCTTGGGCTTCACTGCCTGGATGGCGGTGATCCTGGCCACATAGCCATGGTGGCCAGCAACTGCTTCCCAACCTCCGGCCCTGCCTCCTCCTCTCGGCATAACAGTGGTTCCTCAACAGTCATTCTTTAATGTTTCTGTCTTGGTTTTTGATATAGGGTCTCACTGGGTCTTATATGTCCTAGGCTAGCCTTATATATAACTCCTTGTACAGCTGAGGGTGACCTGGAACTTTCAATCCTGCCTTCACTTCTTGAGTGCTGGAATCACAGGAATGTGCCACCAACCTGATTTAAGTGACGCTATGGACCTACGGGGAGGATTTCCAGCATGCTAGATGAGTGTTCTGCCAGCTGAGCTCCATCCCCAGCCCTTTTCGACAGTCTCACAGCTTTCTCTTAGGAAACCATTTAGGCCAGGTATTTTCTGTGTCGCTAGCTCTCTTGAAGTTTTTCTAACTCGTGGACAGAAATTATTTTAAACAGACTTCCTCTGCTTCCCTTTTAAATAAATGGTTTATGGCTCATGCATGGAATTCGAATTATTTGGGAAGCTGAGGTAGGTGGATTGCTATGAATTTGAGGTCAGCCTAGGCTATATAGCAAGTTCCAGGTCAGCCTGGGCTAAAGAGAGACACTGTCTTAAGAAAACTAGTCAATCAACCAACGAATGACTCAATACATTCCTTTCTATTCTTCTTTTCTGTCAGTATAAGTATGTAAAGCTAATCATTTCTATTTTTGAATCGTATAGACACATTATCTATTCAAAAACTTAAATTACATTTTAAGAATTAAGAGAAGTTGAATTTGATGGAATGTGTGAATTGCAGAAGAGCCACAAGCCTCATTAGGGAAGTCATAAATCCCTTAAAGTGTCTAACTGGCCTAAATTGGCAGCCTGGCCTTGTTCAAGCCTTATCAACTGGTCACTCCCCGGACTGAGAGAACTTTATGAAGCCCAGTTGTCTCCTTCAGTGCTATAGATAACTCACCTGTCTGAAAAAATAATCTTGGGAGAGAGACACTCAAGGACTCCAGACCCTGGCATGGAGTTAACTCTTGCAGTCATATGTAACAGAGTTCTTATATAAGTCCAGACTGCTCCCCCTTTCGATGTAGATACTCATCCCATGTGGAAGAGCTTATCAGCCTTCGCTGTGCTCCTTGAATAGAGGAGCACATTCCTCGTCTGCTGCAGGTCTGGCTCTGACTCTTATTTCTAAACTTTAAACTCCTTCCTTTTTCTCCCTCCTAAATCTAACAGAATTAATAAGCAAAATTTTGACACAAAATTTTTTTGAAGGCCAGCATTTGGCTCAGTGGGTAAAGGTGCTTGCCCCCAAGTCTAATTACCTGAGTTCAATCCCCAGAACCCACAAGGTGAAGACAGCCCAATTCCATCAAATTGTCATCTGACCTCCACACATGCACTGTGGTTAGTGCCTCCCCACAATAAATAAATACTAAAATTTTTTTTTTAATTTTGAATATGACATGCGGGGCTGGAAAGATGGCTCAGTTGGTAAAATGCCTTCCACACAAGCATGAGGACCTGAGTTCAGATCCCCAACACCTACATAAAAGCTGGGCCCAGTTTCACCCATCTGCAACCCCACCACTGGGAGGCCAGGTGGGTCCTAAAGGTCATTGTCCAGACAGCCTAGCCAGTGAGTGAGTCCAAGTGCAAGAAACAAGTGGAGAGCAATGTAAGAAGACCCCTGGCCTCTCATGCACACAGGCATACGTGCACACACATATACATGAACACACACAAAAGAGCATCACATATGCATTCAGTGTAAATTGACCTCAGCCGCCAAGAGCTGCCGACACCCTCCCTCTGGCCCAGCACTCACCCTGAAGGGAATCCAGCTTGGCCTTGATCAGCATCCTCAACCTCCCCACTTCTTGCCTTTTCAGTTCATCGAGCTTCGTCCTCACGTGGTGACTCACTAAATCCAGCTCTTTGCTCAGTCTCCCACTCTGTTAACAAAGTTCATAAGTTAGTTTTATCTATTACATCCCATTTAGACCCAATGTAACAATAAAAATAGCATTATAATAAATCAGTAATAGTTGGGCTAACTTGGATGAATTAAACATTATGAAAAGCATTCCTTTCTGGACTGGAGAAGGTGGTTCAGCAGTTAAGAGCGCATGCTGGCCGGGTGTGGTGTCGCACACCTTTGACCCCAGCACTCAGGAGGCAGAGGCCGGGGGCTCTCTGGGATGGAGACCAGCCTGGTCCAAGCCAGCTGCAGCTACAGGAAGACCCTGTCTCAAACAAAAGCAACAAAAGTACATACTGCTACTGCCAAGGGCTCAAGTTTTGTTCTCAGCACCCACATGGGGTAGCTCACAGTCACCTGTAACTCCAGCTCCCAAGAACCTGATGCCTCTGGCTTCCTGCTCTCATGTGCACATACTCATACACATGCACATGATTTTAAAAATGTTTTTAAATTTTTTAAGTATTCCTTTGAAAAAGAATCATTTTATCTGGGTGTGGTGACTCATTCCTATAATCCTAGTACTTTGGAGGTAAGAGGCAGGAAGATCAGAAATTCACATCACATTCAGTTTCATAAGGAGTTCAAGGTCAGCCTTGGTTACATGAGACCTTGTTTAAAAAAAGAAAAGTGAGGGAATAGAGTGCCTGTGCTTGCCTGGCATGAAAGAAGCCCTAAGTTCAGTGGCCAGCACTGCCTAAAAAACCCATGCCTGTAATCTCAGCACTCAGAGTTCGGCAGGAGAATCAGAATTCAAGGTCCTACTTAGCCACATAATAGCTCAGGAAAGCCTGTAATACCTGACACCCTGTTTACAGAAAGAGAGCCAGGTGTGGTGGTCTCAAGAGACAGAGTCAGGCAGCCTGGTCTACCACACTGTGTTCCAGGCCAACCAGGGCTGCATAGTGAGACCATACACATAAAATAAAAATAATGAATAAAAAAAATTTTTAAAGAAAGAAAAAAAGTTAAAATAGAGTGAGGGTACAACCCAGAACTGGTATCTATATCAAAACCCAGTTGATATCTGTATATCTGTATATCACCTAATGAATAAATAAAATTTAGGACAGTCCTCCCTCAGTTCAGTTCCTAGAAAAGGGGACTGGTTCCAGGACCTGTACAGACATCAAAATCCACAGATACCCAAGTCCCTGACACAAAATGGCAGAGACTGCGTGTAACCTGTGCAATACCCTGTATCATACTTTTTTTTTAAATTTTTGAGACGGAATCTCACTATGTAGCCCAGAGTAGCCCAGAACTTGTTATATAAATCAGGCTAACTTGCATGATGGTGATCTTCCTGCTTCTGCCGCCCAAGGGCTAAAGTTACAGACGTGTGCCACCATACCCAGCTTCTCTTTTTGTTTTTATTGGTATATAATACTGTTTTTTAAACAATTTTGTCAATGGAATCGAAAATGGAAGAACACTGCCCGGGGTGGAAGGAGAAGAGGCAGCTGGGAGAGGTTTTGCCAACAGACTTCCACACCTACACTTAGCTAACTGAGCTGTACAAAATGTTCAGTTCATTACACATTTTATACCTTAATAATGCAAATTTTGAAATGTTGAGATTTAACATTTAATCTGGACCTGGAGTTTATGATCACTTTATTAGTAATTCAATTTTAATACAGAAATGCACAAACAGCCAACTTCTGAGATGCTATTAACTATGTACTGAACAGCTTTAGTGTCAACTTGACACACTTGGGTTGAGGGACCCTCAGGTGGGGAATTGCCTCCACAGGACTGGCCTATGGTCATGGTCTGTAGGGCATCTTCTTGATTACTGAGTGATGTGGAAGGGTCCAGCCCACTGTGGGTGGTGCCACCCCTGGGCAGGTGGGCCTGTGTTGCATAAGAAAGCAGGCTGAGTGGGGGCCAGGGGAGCAAGCCAGTAGCAGCATTCCTCCATGGCCTGTGGTCCAGCTCCTGCCTCCTGGTTCCTGCCCTGAGTTCCTACCTTGGGCTCCCTGATTAACTGTGACCTGGGAGATGTAAGCTGAATAAACCCTTTCCTCCCCAAGTTGGTATTGGTCACAGTGTTTTGTCACAGCAATCAAAGGCAGAGTAGAACAGGAGATTTCCCAAAGCTGTCAAATAACCCAGCAAACTTGGTAAAGCATAGATTTGCTGGGCCTAGAGTTCTAGTTAGATCTGTGATTTGGGGACTGGGAAGTTATGATAGGTTCC